AATAACAAGTGATACTTTCATAGTAGTAATAATAATCATCATCCCATCTGGTAAAGCACAGATGGGATGATGTAAGTGTATGGTATGATAGAGTGTCAATGAACATTTGTAGAAAAGAACAGTTTTTTAAATAATATTTTTAATTTATCATTGCGTGAATTGTAAAAATGTGTAGCCTATACACAGATTTTTAAAAAAAGAGGTTTTAATATTTTATTAACTAAATGTGTGTCATAGCCTGCACCTCTTAAATTATTTTTTGCCTACACTGTCCTCAGTCCCCTTAGCTATAGATTTCAAATCCAAAAAAGTGAAAGACGTGAATGAAAATAGAAACTGTAGCAGTGCCTGGATAGTGATGGATATGTTTTGGGGGCTTTTTGCCATTAACAGACAGCTGAATATTTGAATTTAGGCATTAATTCTCAATGTTTGTGAGACCAAAAGCTTTAGTACAAAAAGGCGATGTAATTTTGTACAGGTGTAACTGCATCTTTTCTTTGCTACAAATACAAGACTGATTCATTTCCTGCCTTGTATTTATTCAGATTCAACATCATACTTAAAAAATAGTCCATTTTCATTCTCAGGTATGAATCGGAGGTCGTTTTCAAAAGTTTCAGAGAATGCGTAAAAAGCAATGGAAACAATAATATATAGTTAGATATTACACCCATTGTGTATTTTTCTGTCATGTTATGCATAAAGGAGCAGAATATCACCACTTGACATACACCGATACCACCCGGATGTTACGACTCTTCTTGGGTGCGTTGGTTTTCCTTCAAATCCTCGAGCTGCTCTCAGTTAGTCTGTAGATCCTTGAGTGTTCCGCCCGTTTTGTTTAAGCCAGTGTACAAAATGAACGCACCCAACTTAGCACGTCCGTTGCTCTCATAACATTTGCTAAGGACGTGCTGCTCGTATTTACCCACGCTGTTTCTTAACAGTTCACCTTCAGAGTTTCTCTGGGGCGCCGTGGAAGTGTTTGTTAGGACACAGTTTGTGTGTCGGGATGTTTCACAGGAGTAAAACCATTAAAGACTTACTGAACATTGTCCCGGGGAAACGTCGCCTCGGTGCGTACAGGTTCCTTCCAATCTTTTTCTGTATCGGGGGAATCATGGAGTGGATCATGATCAACGTGAGGATAGGACAAGAGACTTTCTGTAAGTGTAAGCCATGGGTTCACTCAGCTAGTCTAACCGACACGTTGAGTATCTATTTAATAGATAAGTTAGCTAGTTTTAATAAGTTAGGCTAGCTGTGTTAGCTGACCTAGCAAATGATAAAGGACAAATAAAAGGCGCCAGTGTGCTCTTCTTTTGGTTATATGCTAGCTACCGGTTTGGGAAATTACTCCAATGCTTGTGGTCAGTGCTTTCATACACGTGTTTACCTCGAGTTTACAGTGATCTTGACACACTTGAGAGTGCCTACAGTCAGTAGTTACTAGATAGTTGTAGGTACCTACGGTGTGTACCAACACTTTTGTCGACCCTTCCAAACGGGTCTAAAAGCAGTCTAATCAGAGAAGAGTTCCCATGTGATCCCATCAGAATCAGATGATTTTTTATCAATGTTATTATTTGTTAACAGTATGAAAACTGTGAGTTACAGGTCCTCCCAATGGGAGGCATTTTTGAGCTTTCATGAATTCAGAAGGAGGAGAAGAGGCCAACATTACATTTTCAGAGCTGAAAAACAAACACACGTTTTATTATGGAATAATTATCCCAAATTACTGGAGATAACTATGTCGTAGAACAAATGGCACCAATTTAATGCGTGTGACACAGAATACGCTAAAGATCAAGTGTTTTTAAGCAAACTTTAAAAGGGTTTGCTCACCCTGTTGGATAGATGGCTATTCAAACCAAATTAGGCCATTTGCGGGGCCTATCTTCTACTGGGATTCCTACTGGGCCAAATCCATCCAGGTTGCCAGTCTTTTGCAGGGCTTACACACACAGAGACAGAGCGGCTCACATTAACACCACCACCAGTTAACCTAATGTGAATGTCTTTGGACTGTGGGAGGAGGTCAGAGTTGCCAGAGGAAACACACAGGCACCACACTGCAGACTCCACACTGAAAGGCCCCAGTTGGCCAGTTGATTGGAACCTTTATGTTTACAGTCATATAATCAAGAAATCCTCATGTTTTGGAGGCTTGAGCTGACCTCCTAAAGAAATTAAGCAATTGTAAAAATATTCATTTTCTTTTAAGGGCAATGTGGTTAGCTCTGTTGTCGCAGCAAGGAGGTACTGTGCTTGAATCTAACCTGGGGCCTTGTTCTGTGCAGTTTCTGTGTCTGCATTGTTTTCCCTGTGTGTACCTCAGTTTCTTCCCGCAGTCCAAAGACATGTGTGTTAGGTTAAATGGTGATTCTACATTAGCTGTAGGTGTTAACAATTGTCTGTCTGTATGTGTTAGATCTGCAACAGATTGGCGACCTGTCCAGGGTGTACTCCGCCTCGTGCCTTATGACAACTGGGACAGGCTCCAGTAATTATTGTAACCATAAGATATTAATGTAGAAACAGTGTTGTAATGTTATATCTGGGAGCTTTTTTAAACCACTATCTGCTATAAAGCAGTAGTATATAAACAACTTATTTTTTAAAAAATAAATAACTTTGTTTGTGAAATATTAATCTTTAAATAACTAGTAACCATCCATTAAATACATGTAATACTCTGTGTGTCCCTTTGAAATGTGGTAATGTTGTAGGTGGTCCAGTTAAGTACTTGAGTACAGTGGTTAAATAACAAATGCACTTTAAAGAACTATGGTGTCAGAATCACTGGAAAAACAAGTTTCCACCTAATTATACGAACACCCACTCAAGTTGGAAAAACAGGTTAAAGACTAAAAAAATGCTGATGCACATGTTGCTGTGTTATTGATATATACACAAAACATGGAAGTTGTCAGTAAATGTCCGGGTGAGTGCAAAAATGTTATGATCTAATGGTGCAAACTGTTTTGTTTTTTCCTGCTAACATTTAATTTATAATATGTCCAGGTAGGTTAGTTAGTTATGGGGGGAACTATTTTCTAGCTGAAGAAAATGGACCATCCAGTGAATGCATGAAAGCAGGGAACATTTGTCACAATGCTAGAGATAGAGTGAGCGGGGTCACTCAAAGACTGAAAAGAAAAAGGACTCCAGTGTGTTTTTACTCTCACTAAACCCATTTCTCATTATTCCAGATGTGCTGTCAGAACTAAAAAGGGCTCAAATCCTCTTGTGTTTAAAAAAAAAAAAAAAAAAAAAATCCACCCTGCACATATTATCCTGTGATATTGAGAGGCCATTTGGGGACAAAAGAAGTGTTTTTCTCTACTGAGGAGAAAAAAAACTATTCCCTGTGCTGTTTGTCAGCTTGGCAGTCATTTTGTTATAGATATTAGATATTGCCCAGATTGCTTAGAAATTCTGCTGGATAATAAAAACAGACATTTTCACTTGCAGTAGCAGAGGGAAAAAGGAAACACCAACTTTTTCCACCTGCCTCTGCAAGTGAAAATGTCTGTTTTTATTATCCAGCAGTGAAAAAAAAGGTGTTTTTTCTTCTTTTTTTTTGAGGGGGGGGGGATTTTTAAAAAAATCCGGAACCCTGGAACTGCCCCACCTGAGTGGTATGCACTCATTACTAATGTTATGCGGTTACATGTGTCTTTCTTTCCTTCTTCAGCAAGCCAAAATATCTGCTGTGCATGCTCACTTTGACACTGACAGTTTAGTAGCATAAACCAGTGTGTTTCTTACCGTGACACATAAACTGATAGTTGGCACATTTTCAGTTAAACATCAGTGTCAAGTATCCAGAATGCTTTCTCTGTGCAGTTTTTACTGGAGACACATTTCAGTCTTTTGAATCTGTTTTCTTTCCAGATGATGTCTACAGAAGAAAACAGTCAGAACGAGAGTACCAGCAAAAGATAGCAGATGGATTGATAGTTCTCAATCAGTCTCCAGCCAAGTGAAAGATGATGATTGGATTAAATAAGGACTTGACACGTCATCTAAAGACAGTGTGGGACACCCATGCAATTATGAATGCTGCTAAAGAAACGAGTGAAAAGCTGATGGTGCAATGACTTCCAACATGCAGGTTTTATTATTTGTATAGTGTTCATTTGCAGCACTGCAGTATAAAGCAACAGGGTAGAAGAATCCGTTTCAGAAAGATGAAAATAATGACGACAAAGGCATTATTTGTTTGTGGAAACCATATTGAGATCTCATCGTTGTAATGCCTCATATTTTTAAAAAAACAAACATTGCATAGCACCAGCTAGAGAAACCATCTTCGCCATGTACCAACTAAAAAAATGACTAAAGCTGTTTTTATTTTGGATATTGCTTTTAAACAAAACCCACACTGTTTCATTTGTTGATCAAATCTTTTTGATCAACAATTCTAATTGTGTAAGTTTTCAACTGTGCGATATATGTATCACTATAAAAATGTCGCTTAAGAACTTTATTTTTCATTATTTATATTTTTTCTGTGCACTAACTGTGCATCTTAATCCCACTCTCCTTCACTTTACCAAGAACTCACTAGAGCCCGACCGATATATCGGCCAGCTGATATTATCAGCCGATATTGGCTATCTGCCGATACGTGCATAGCGACACATTTCATTAACAAGTAAAGAAGAGGCATTATGTTGTTGCATAGCTTGGCCATCAGAGGACACACCCCAACTTTCCTGTTGGCAGCATATGTTCGAAATGCGATGAACACAACAGCCAGCTGATTTGAGCAGAGTCGGGCAGAATGTAAATCCACAACTTTGTCACATTACCTTAGTAAGGACTCATGAATAACTAGAAATAAGAAATGCCAGGGAAATCTTTGTTTTGTCTGCCCAAAAGGAAAAAAAATATCGGCAGATATATCAGATTTTTAAATATCCAATTAGTGGTATCAGTTTTAAAAATCCTATATTGGTCGGGCTCTAGAACTGACTCACAAAGTCTGCCTCAGTTTCTTTTGTGTTTCACTTGTACCAGCCAATAGGGAGAGACTGCAGACAGATGAAGCTGTTAGGGTGCTCCGACAGCTTCAGGGGGTTCCCATCCAGTCTCACCTCGTACATGTTGGTCCGAATGTAGTGGCTTGTGTTTCCTTTGCAGAATGTCTCATCTGTTATTGTTGAGATGTTGTTGTTCTGCAGGAGATCAATTCAAGAACACAACCTTGGCTACAACTTCCAGACAGAAAACAAATTTCATTTCTTCTGCAGTTTTTTTTTTCCAAAATAAATAACAGATGAACTTACATGCAGATGAACAACGTAAAGAGACTCTGGAAGATGGGGGACGGCTGTCAGTTCATTGTCTCCGAGATAAAGGTATGCCAGTCTCGTGAGTTTCTGCAACAACACAAGGCCACTATTTAACATGCGATGATGATTTCTGCAGGGGTTTAACATTAGGCATTTACTTGCCAACTTACTTTAAAAGCATTTGCCTTTACACCCTGGGTTATAAGCCTGTTGAAATTGGCATTAAAAGTTACTAGCTTGGATGGCAGCATGGGAAGTTTGGTCAGTCTGTTTTCTGCGAGTTTGAGCTCCTCAAGATTGGGAAGTTTTGAGAAAGATCCGTCTTCTATCTCAGAGATGAGATTCCCAGACAAGTCAATTCTTCTTAAAGTAGCTGAAAAATACAAATAATGGAAGTAAAAACTTAAGAGGAGAAGAATACTTCAAAGGATTTTTAAAATTATTAGTATTGATTTACCTGTGTCTGCAAAGTCTTCCCTGTGTATTTTTGTGATTTTGTTGAAGCGAGCATAGAGATACGCCGTTTCCTTTGGCAGGGTTGGCACGGCTGACATGTCAGGGGACACGTCCTCGCAGTAAACTGATCCACTCAGACAAACGCACAGTAGACATGTTGGCAAAACTGAAATGATCACACATCTTTTCATCATATGGCATCATTTATATACACTTCTCAAAACAACCCCCCCCCCCCCAAAACAAACAAACAAACAAACAAACAAAAGAAAACAAAAATCCAGCAAAACAAAAATAAATGTGTACACACAGGTCCTTTAATTAGCTGCAACTAAACTAGAAACAGTTGTGTATGCACTTGAAAATGCACTGCACCTAGTTTAGCCGAGGACACTTGATCAGTCCCATTATTACGTAACATGAGCTTTAGCTCCATTCACAAAAATGTGGAAGAATGCCTTTGCAAGTGTTGCATAATCAGCTTTGAAAGAGTTGTGGAAAACTATTTATTTTTTTAATAAACCTTACCTTCTGCTTTTGGAAGTACTCCACCATCAGTATCTGTGTCTTGCAGGACGCCATAGTCCGACGCACGTACCGTAGCTTTCTGCAAAAAGAAGAAATCATCTCAGTTAGCTCTCACTTTTGTGCATATCGTCCTTGAAGATAGTTTTGAACCTCCCCCCAAAGCTTTCTTACTGCAGGTGTTCTTGCTTCCATGTATTCACCCTTTGCTGCAGAAGACACTATCCATGGGAGCATTACATATGTGAAAATTAAAATCCTTAATGGTATCATTGTGCCTCAGTGGCTGGAGAGAGGAGGACAGAGCTGTCTGCTAGGCTGAGATCTGGGGTACATCTGAGAAGGAAAATTTTCCATCCACTTTTATTAAGCTGCCAGCATACTGCTGAGTAAGAAAAGGAAACTAGTTTTAACTCAATACACGCTGTGTTTGTGTCAAATCGACTGGTCCGGGTCACTCTTTAAGATTGTGTCGCCTTATTTCTGTCCAACAGATGAGCATTTAAAGCTCGATGGGGATGTAAGTGATGAAAACTTTGGATCATAAGAAAACCATTGAGTAAACCCAATGCATGAAACAGTTAAATTCTGTGGGTGTCACTGCTGTTACTGGGGGAACAGCTTGGTACTGGATGAAGGTATTAAATTTGAAAAACTGATTGATTTACCAGCAGTGAAGCAGAGAGAGCAAACTGTTGAGTATCTTTTTACTTGGATTGTTTTCCATCCATTTGGACTGCTTCTTTATCAGAAGTGACTCTCTTTCTGAATAACTGCTGTGGTTGAGGTTATTGTCCTGTGCCTGTCCACTAAAACGTGTCCCGATCAGTTCTATTGATTGTTTGATCACAACAGCTTGCCTTAACTACAGCCTCGACCTTTCACATAGTTTGATAGTTACTGTTCCATCATTTACTAACTTAACTTCCAATAGATCAGACTCTCCAAATTATTCTAAGCATACATCAGATCAGTCCGTTGCAGAAGCTGCTCCTAAAACCATGAACAGCCAGGTTCTTCAAATCAGAACCTAATCTCCCCCCCAAAAAACATTACTTCTTTGTTTTTTAAATAAATCTAAGTTTAAATCTAAGTTTATAATGATTAGAAAAAATAGGATTAATTAATTCCTTTTTTTTCATTGAGGAAAGATTTGTAAATTTTAATTTGACACGTAAAATGAGATTGCTGTAGACACACACACACATGCACACAAGTACGCAATGGAGTCAAAGGAGCTTGCAAAGAAAAGTGTCTGGACTTCTTTAAGTTACTTGAAGACATTTCACCTCTCATCCGAGAAGCTTCTTCAGTTCTAAGGTCAAATGGTGGAGAGTCCCAGATATAAACCTAGTGGGAGTAACATGCTTGTGACAGTGGCGGGATGTCTCCATGAGACTCTACATTGGAGAGACCAAACAGCCACTTCACAAGCGCATGGCACAACACAGAAGAGCCACCTCCACAGGACAAGACTCAGCAGTCCATCTGCATCTTAAGGATAAAGGACACTCTTTCGAGGATGCCAATGTTCACATTTTGGACAGAGAGGACAGATGGTTTGAAAGAGGAGTGAAAGAAAAATGGTAAATGGCCTGCATTTGTATAGCGCTTTTCTAGTCCCTAAGGACCCCAAAGCGCTTCACACTACATTCAGTCATTCACCCATTCACACACAGCATTCACACACTGGCAAGCTACATTGTAGCCACAGCTGCCCTGGGGCGCACTGACAGAGGCGAGGCTGCCGGACACTGGCGCCACCGGGCCCTCTGACCACCACCAGTAGGCAAACATGGGGTTAGTATCTTGCCCAAGGATATTTGGCATGCAGCCAGGAGGCAGCCTGGGATCGAACCACCTGACCTTCTGATTAGTGGCTGACCTGCTCTGCCACCTGAGCTACAGCCACCCAAGAAGCCATCTATGTCCACTGTGAGCGACCATCTTTGAACAGAGGCGGTGGTTTACGACACCAACTCTCTGCCATCTATAATCCAGTTTTGAGATCCCTTCCCAGACGCCTTAACGCCCACTCACATCCTGGGCCATCTGATCTCAGGAATTCGCATGATAAGGTGGGGCCAGGTTTCACAATGAACTCACCCGAAACTCTGGCTGATTGGGACCCACACCCAGTTTCACACCTTGGCTCAGGCGATTAGAGGATCATCAGGGGGTCCTTTTGTCCCTCTGTGGGGGGATACTCCCACTAGGTTTATATCTGGGACTCTCCACCATTTGACCTTAGAACTGAAGAAGCTTCTCGGATGAGAGGTGAAACGTCTTCAAGCAACTTAAAGAAGTCCAGACGCTTTTCTTTGCAAGCTCCTTTGACTACGATGACCTGGATGACTGAGAACCTTCACAGACATACACAATGGAGTGACAGGCCTTAGTACAGTAGTTGTAGAACATCAGTTATTAGGAAAAAAATAGGTTACAGATGTAATTATCTGCATAATGATTTAATAGAAAAAGTATTATTAAACTTGCAATTTTAAGTGCACTTATGCAACACAGCCTGACCTCAGTTTCTACTGGAGTTGGGACAAAAATGACCTTCACAGACAAAAATGATCTTATATGACTTAAGAAGGGTGGAGATGTGCACACAGAGCCATTGAAGGTGGAGTGTAAGCAAATAGAGGAAACAGGAGTGCAACTAAGAATAATAAATACTATTTTGCTGTGAAAATAACAAGACTGGTTATACTGTTGTGTTGACATTTATTTTATTAACACAAATAATTGCTTTAAAAATATGTAGAAGATGAATAATTTTTTACATATATAGAAAATTTACATTTATATTTATATCTGCTGCTATTAACCTCAGTCGTCAGTTTGGTTATCAGGTTCAAGCAACCGCCTGCACTCATTAAAATCTTGACTTGCTCAAGTGCCCTTGAGAAAAACGCTGACCTTGACCTTTGATCATCAATATGGAAAGTATTATTTTGTTTCTTTGTTTTAATTTAAACCCACATGACCCTCCAATTATCTGATCATACATGTCTATAGTCTTGTAACCCATTTAAATGGTAAAGAGGGCTCCTCTCGTGCGGATAATGTTTATTTTGGCTGAGTACTAAATCACAAAATCATCCAGTTGGCGACCTTCACATATACATTTAGCTTGCATATATATGCTGAATGCATATATATGTCAATACTGTAGCAATGTAATGCAAGAGTATCAAACAGTTGAATTAATTCTGAATAAAGAAATACGCTTGGATCCATTGATTGCCTTTACCGTGTGAGCAGAGGCTGCATTACGTAAGGCAGATGTGCGGTGAGAAAAGAGGAAACAGAAGTGCCCGTGTAGCGGAAGTGGTACTGCCCTGAACGATACGCTAAGTGAGACGGAGGACGGAGGCTGAATCGTCCACAGAGCGAGCGAGAAGAAGAAAAAACAGTAGGATTAAAAGTCACCGCAATCGTAAGTGCAATAACCTCGAATGTATGAATATCGCATGCTAACACTAGGTTTTCATTGGTAGCTCGTTGTTCGAAAGCCTGTTCTATCGCGTTCGTTCGAATCCCACTGAGAAGCGAAACATAACGGCTAGCTCGGTTGGTGAAAGGCTAAGCTAGCGTTAGCTGCTAGCTTGCTAGCGGACGGTGAGATTCCGTGACACTTTGTTCTGACAGGCTCGGCAGCCAGGGCGGGCCCTGCTACAGCTACTTAAAACGAAATCAAAGCGAAAGTAATACGGTGCAGTTCAGTATTCCCCTTCGTAATAACTACTTAAAATGACAAATATTAACTGCCATCACCCAAACCGCGTATTTTTACATAAAAATTCGCGGTTGCTTTCGCTGGCCTAGCCGTGACTGTTAGCGGCGATGCTAGCGAACTGTTAGCTACTACATTCGTTTTTTCCTACTTTGGTTATCGCGCATACGATAGTTTAGCGGCTATAAATATGAACGAAAAATATGAAGTCTTCTACTATGTACTGTCGTATTTGTTAAGCCAGTTTAGCCGCGATTTAGAAAATCTACTATCCTCGCTAGCCTTGCTAGCAACATTGTGGGAGGGCATTAAACATGACCCGGGAAGGCTTCCGCTGGTACAGCAAGTGTCGGTCGAAAGAACGTCAAGCGAGCCAAAAAGGCAGCAGAGCAAATAATTATACACGGTTTGACATATTTGGATATGCGAAGAGTTCTGATTCAACTCGTGAATATGAAATTGGGTTGGGACGGTAAGGGCGAAGCAGGGTTAGCTAATAACTTGGCTAGCGGCTAACCATAGCAAGAGATGAGTGTGGTTGACCCACTTGCCAAAGAGCCCAGTTCACAAAGCATGCCCTGTGAATTGTCATTGAATTAAGTGTTTTCAGGTGTGCCACGGCAAGGTGAAGCAAGTTCGTGTGAACTAAGATAACGCACACACCACACAGGTGTGAATGGCTAATGTGCCTGAAACATTCTTTCTTGTGTTTTGGTGAATTGCAACTGTAGCTGTTTCTAATATTGTCTTGTTTTTCCCAGTCTAGAAAATGGATAAGAGCGACCTGGTACAGAAGGCCAAGCTTGCTGAGCAGGCTGAGCGCTATGATGACATGGCTTCAGCCATGAAGGCAGTGACAGAGCAAGACTCTGAGCTGTCAAATGAGGAGCGCAACCTTCTCTCTGTTGCCTACAAGAATGTTGTAGGAGCGCGCCGCTCATCCTGGCGCGTTATCTCCAGCATTGAGCAGAAGACTGAGGGCAATGACAAAAAACAGGAGATGGCACGTGAATACCGGGAGAAGATAGAAGCTGAGCTGCAAGAAATCTGCAACGATGTGCTTGTAAGGATTTCTCATTATTCAGTCCCAATTTAGATTCTAGTGAAAGTGGTACGTGTTATTGTGAATCTGAACAAACCTTTACTGCTGTTTTCAGGAGCTACTGGACAAATTTCTCATTGCCAAAGCATCTAATCCTGAAAGCAAGGTGTTCTATCTGAAAATGAAAGGCGACTATTATAGATACCTGTCTGAGGTTGCGTCTGGGGATAATAAGAAGAGTAAGTGAAAACACAGTTTACATCATAACTTTGTTTTACTGCAGTGTCCTTTTAAAGAGTGGTGAAAGAAACTTTAAGTTAATCAATAATGTGTAATCTGAAATCCCTAAATGTGTTGATTTAAAAGAGCAGAATCATGATGCTTTTTATTGGATTTTTTTTTTTTAATTATTGTTCTGTCAACAGCTTTGTTTTCAGCAACAGCTGATTGCACTTTTTAGCAATAAAAAACCCTCCAAATAAGAAACCTATGTAGTTGAACCTGGCATACTTGAAGACAAGCTGAAAAGGCCAGAAAATTTTGTGGCCAGTCTACAGTAAATGCAGAGATGGCACCATGTGGAATAAGAAAATTTTGCCATATTAATGAATGTT